CTCCAGACGAGAATAATTAACCAGGAATTTTGATGCTGTTTTCATTTTTTTTATTAATGTCTTGGTAAGAATTTGTTTTCTACGGTGGCATAGAGGTGACATTTGCACTTTTATTTTATCTCGTGGCCACGACTTATTATCTTGAGGCCTCAAGATGTTATCTCGTGGTCACGACTTATTATCTCGTGGCCACGACTTATTATCTTGTGGCCTCAAGATATTATCTCGTGGCCACGAGTTATTAACTTGTGGCCACGACTTATTATCTTGTGACCACGACATATTATCTTGAGGCCACGACTTATTATCTTGTGGCCTCAAGATATTATCTTGTGGCCACGAGTTATTATCTTGTGGCCACGACTTATTTTCTCGTGGCCACGACTTATTATATTGAGGCCACAACTTACTATATTGAGGCCACGACTTATTATCTCGTGGCCACGAGTTATTATCTTGTGGCCACGACTTTTTTCAGCCAATGAAAATGGACGTTTCATCTTGAACAAAAGTTAATATCACTAAGACCTTATATCACACTAAGAGCGGCGGGTCAAACGCTAAGACAATATTGATAATTGTTTCATAGTCCCTTTGTACATGTAAAGATAAAATAAACATGTTTTGACTTCACAGATAGTTGATATGTTATGTTTAAAATTCTACACAATATTGATGTTAACCATGAATTTATGTTGTGTCAGTTTTTTTTAAGTAAAGATTACTTGACCTGTTATAGGGAATGCAGCTTCCTGTACATAGTTTATTGATTTCTTTATTCAAGTTAGACGCATTAAGTTAGAATATCATAGATTTAAATAAATGTCTGTGATTTTAATATTCAATGGTGAGCAAGGTTTATCTAATGTGAAGTCAAAACATGTTTATTTTATGTTTACAAAGAGACAGTGTAACAATTATCAATATTTTCTAATATCAAATTTAAGCAAAGTATATCTTTAAAGATGAATGAAAGAAACACCTGACCATACAAAACAGAAGAAAGGGGTACACTAACAATTATAAAACGTCCCCCTTATTCACCGCTGCAGCGTTTGACCCGCCGCTCTTGTGACACTTTGGCCAGTGTGATATACGGTCGTTGTGATATTAACTTTTATTCAAGATGAAACGACCATTTTAATTGGCTGTAATAAGTCGTGGCCACAAGATTATAAGTCGTGGCCACGAAATAATAAGTCGTGGCCACAAGATAATAACTCGTGGCCACGAGATAATATCTTGAGGCCACAAGATAATAAGTCGCGGCCACGACATAATATCTTGAGGCCACAATATAATAAGTTGTGGCCACGAGATAATAAGTCGTGGCCACGAGATAATATCTTGAGGCCACGAGATAATAAGTCGTGGCCACAAGATCATAAGTCGTGGCCACAAGATAATAACTCGTGGCCACGAGATAATAAGTCGTGGTCACAAGATAATAAGTCGTGGCCACAAGATAATAAGTCGTGGCCACGAGATAATATCTTGAGGCCTCAAGATAATAAGTCGTGGCCACGAGATAAAATAAAACTGCAAATGTCACCTCTATGCCACCGTAGTTTTCCTGTATTTATATTGAATATTTTATAATTTTATTTTTAAATAAATTTACTGATTCATTGACAAAAAATATATACTGTTGATAATGACTTTTGATAGATTAAATCTATCATTTATAATTGATACTGCCGGAAATTGTAACTTGGGTGTGAATATTTGGAGGGAGTGGAGGGGATATATTTTCATTTCCTGCGTTCCTCCGGATCAATAATTGGATCTATGAAGAATTGTTTAACACTTGCGGCCAGACTGTGCCTTAGTGCTTTCTTTCCTATTCAATGGCATTGTGACATGCACACAGAGAAGGGAAATGCGTTACGGAGGGGGAATTAGGGGACATAAAAACATAATTATAAAATGTACCGTATGTATAAAGATATGTAACTCATATACCATTTTGTTTTCGGAAAACAATATCCCTGTCTGTTCCACTTTTGGGGAAAAGTAAATCTCTTGTTTTGAAGTTTTTTTTAAGAAATAGCGAGAAAATATATTCCTTTAAAGTAGGGAAATGTGGTCGCATTTCGTCCAAAAGTTGGCCCTAAAACTCAGTTACCGTACAGCGGGACATTGGCCACTTGTATGATCATAGACAGACACGCGTGGGGACAGAGCGGGACCCTTATAATCTGGGTCTGACTCCCAAGTGTCTGTAAAATCATACAATAAAAACGTTCTCAGCACTGTTTATATCCGCTAAATGACCATTCACTGCTGTGTACATGCAACAGTGATATGAAGACATAAAAAAGATAATTCAACGATTTATGTTCCTCCTCTTATTTGACATACATGTATATTAAGGTGCAGGAACATATGAGCCGTGTCATAACAAAACCAACATAATGCGTTTAGGACCAGCATGTATCCAGACCAGCCTGCGCATCCGCGCAGTCTGATCAGGATCCATGCTGTTCGCTTACCAACTCTATTACAAGTAGAGAAACTGATAGCGAATAGCATGGATCCTGATCAAACTGCGCGGATGCGCAGGCTGGTCTTGATCCATGCTGGTCGCAAACCCATTATGTTGGTTTTGTCGTGACACGGCTCAATTATGAATAATGTTTGACAAATAAAGTTGATAAGTGTTTCTTAACAAAGTGTTTATAGAATATCCAAACATTCAAAGGGTACGTCAGTTGTTAAGAGTGTATAAATTATTACAAATTTTATTTAGTAAATTCAGTACAGATGCATACTTTCATTTTTGGCTTTATTGTCATTATTCAAATCTAATCCATTGCATCGAAGTTGCTACACATGTCCATTCATTATAAAGGTGCTAATTTTGGAATTTGTATAAAATGGTTTTCAGGTGAGCGACTTATCTGTGATCGTCCTCTTTATGTAGAATATCGTGGAGAATAAATACACTATTATCATGTCATATAAAACAAAAAATCTTCATAAATTGATAAAAAATTGTTTCTTAGTGTGAAATTGTTCAAAATGAATTTGTGGACATTATTGCATTTGAACCACTAGCATGATAATAGTGGTAAAGACTATTGCCCAATTCCATTAAAGGTCCTGCATGTTTTAATTTAAATTGTAACCATTTTATATATGTATATAATCATGCTTTTAAAACAATTTCCGAACATCGAAAAATATGTAAAATATGTACTGCAAATATTTGTCCACATTATGTGTAATCATTAAAATATATCAGGTTTTCTCCTTTTATATCAGGGGCCAATATAGGACTGCTTCCCCATGTGCCGGGATTGACAAATATACATTTTATTTGGATTCTAAAGACTTTTTAAGCTCCACATTCCAAGTGTCTGTGCTTAAGCAAAGTAGACGTTGCATTATATCATTAACTTGCAATTAGAGTGTTTCTGAGCTGCGTTTCATGGAGAGTCCTAAGTTAATCCTAAATCCTCGGACTTATGACCAACTTTAGGAGAAAAAGTTTTTGCACTTAAGACCGTTTCAAGTAACTGTCCTCTCTTTTGTTTTAAACTTAAGACTTATGACCAATTTGCTCTCCTGAAAAAAGTTACAAAATACAATGGCACGCGCATAATCCCGGATTGGATTTACTATGTAATTGATTATAGCAAGTATAAAAAGTAATGTATTGCCCTCTTATCATGTTGAGTGAAAATATATACACACATGTACCATATTTCACGAAAAACGATAAAATAACCGTTTTATTTAAATTCATTGTAAAAAATGGTTACCCCCTTGCTTGATACGCAACTGCAATGGTACAGCGCGCAGTAATATTATTATTAATTTTATAGATGCGTCTAGCACGCGACATTTGGCGCTACATTGTGACGTCATGTAAACAACTCTTTAAACGTTTGTACAGCGTTAATGACTGAATTAAAGATATAGGTGTTCGGATCTATTTTCTTAGTTAGACCATTATCTATCATTCTAGATAGTTTTCAATACAAAATTCAACAAAAAGTTGTTTGATTTTGAAGTGGTTTTGACTTGGGACAATCTTAACCCTTTCACTGCCATAGGGACGGCTTAAGCCGTACCTGTTATTTTCGGCGTATTTGCCATATGGACGGCTTTAGCCGTTTCTATAATAATAATAGTAATAATAATAAATTAATAATAATAATAATAAAAATAATAATAAATATAAAGAAAATTATACCATCGACAATAATTATTATTATACTAACAATTTTGGGAACATATATAATTATCATAATACTAATAACAAATAATAATAATTATATTAATTAATAATATGGTAATTTCTTAGAAAATCCTCTGGCAAATAGGTGAACAATAAAACAATAACCCTCTGGCAGCGAAAGGGTTAAGATACCTTTAAAACACTCCTAGACTTAGGACTGTTTTTGGTCATAAGTATAGGAGTCATAAGTTAGGACCTTTTTTAAGACTTTCTTTGAAACGCAAAATTGTCACAATTTTTATCTTAAGACAAACTTAAGACTTAGGACTCTCCATGAAACGCAGCCCTGGATACTATAATATAACGTTAGGTCCTTTCTTTAAATGCATAATACAGATAACTTGCCAGATTATTGTTTTGATATTTGTGCTTGTCATAAGTGTTTTTAAAAATTTCTGCATTGTAGGCAATATTAAAAACTTTTCTATGTAAATTGCATATTAATAAGAAATGATATTCTGTTTCTACCAAATTTAATGAACAATTTCGACATTTTCTATTTGAATATTATCGTGCCTTCCCTTTTCTATCTCCAGATTGTGAGTTCGGTTAGAATATTGGCAAAGATTTAAATTGCTTGGTCATTTCAATAATTGCATTGATACAAAGCTTTACACTTTGATAACAAATATATGCCATAAATATCTATATATAAGTATCATAAAAATCTATATATAGTTTTCATTTATCATTTGCTCGTCTAATTAATTTCAAATTATTGAGTAATATAATATATATATAACATGTGTTTTTATTATATATTTCAGAGGTAAAAGATGGCTTGCTTGAATTCTACAAAACAAGACACAGTAAAGTGTTCCTGTCGCCTCTTTTTGAAGAGAAAGACACTCCGTTGGCTTCTTTCTATATCAGTCCGGAACTGAGCTCAGTAGTCTCAACATCAACGAGAAATGATGAAAAAATACCAGTCAAATCGTTATCGGAGATATTCAAATTTGACAATACGGAAAATCGAGAAATATATGTACTCGCTGATGCTGGGCTCGGAAAAACTGCATTTTCCAAGTATTTGGCTAATGTTTGGTGTCAAGCCCATTACCCAGACGAACACATGAGTAATGTTTTGTCAAAAGATGATATAGACTGTATGCAAGGATTTGATTTCTTATTTCTGGTTTTACTGCGAAATTCGAACAATTTATGTTCAGTAGATGATATAATATTTAAAAAGATTCTTTCAAATTTGGGTCTAGAAGAAAAGCCTTCAGAGGACTTTCTCCTTAAAATCTTGAAAAATGAAAAATGCCTCGTTATACTTGACGGACTAGATGAATGGACCCACCCCGAAATGAAATGTGACAGATCGCCGCGATCAATCCCCCATAGGAATGACCGAAAAAAATGTACAATACTGACCACTACGCGACCCTGGAAATTAGGAGTTTTGAATCTAAATTCGTGTCAAATAGGAAAAAAGGTAGAAATTACACAATTAAGTAACAATTCGGCCGTCACGCTTATAAGAAGGATATTACAAAGATTAAAATCTCACCAGAATAAAGATTTATTAGACAGTGACGTCAGGCAGTTCATACAAACAATCAATAGGAGACAAAACGCCCAGCTTGCTTGTGTGCCTCTTCTTTTAATATATACTATTTGTTTATGGTGTGACGGTATTCAAATAGGAGATTCAAAATGTGATCTGTATATAAATATAGTCGAGCTTCTTTTATCGAGAACGATTCAGATCCACGGGGAGCTTCAACAATCGTGGGAACTTTCTTCCAGTGACATCCCAGAATGCTTAGCTGAATATGACAACTGTAAAAGATACTACCCACTCCTGCTGAATTTAGGGAAATTGGCTTATTATACATTATTCAATGAAACAAAAGAAAACACGCTGGTATTTGATGGATCAATTGCTAGAAAATATCTCGCACAAGACATGATGAATTTCACCCTTCACTCAGGAATGTTGTCAGAAAGTACATCCAAAACACTAACGAAAAAATTCAGTAAAGTGTCGTTTTCCCACAAAACAGTGCAAGAATTCTTTGCCGCCATTTTTATAAGTTCCCAAAGTGACGCGCAAAAAACTGTTGTAGAGAAATGTAGAAATGTTCAAGACATTCTGGACATGTCAAAAATTTGTGAATTTATAACTGAAATGAATGCTGACCGGATGTGTGCAATATCAAATGATTTGATGTCTGTGATAAATGAAGACGAGAAAACACGCGACTATAGAGCTAGGACAGGTGACGAGTACTTGTACAATAGCCCATTGTATAACATACAGAAAATGTTCATGTCGTGTTTACAAGAAATGCCTGAAAGTGAAAATATTCAATTATGTTTACAAGATTTCTTCATTAAAGAGAACACCGAGGTGCACAGTGAGCAGTTACAACGTTTATTAAAACAAAATAAAACCAACATAAAATCACTTTATATAAACATCTACAATACTTCCAGCAGTTTACGTGAAATTATAGATTTATTCTCTCTCACAGATCTCAGTTATATACAGAAACTTTACTATCATGGTGGCAGGGAGAAGGAGGCTGAGATAAGTCGGATATTGTTTCCCAGTTTACAGTCCGTTACTTTGTTGTTTGGTACATGGAGAAATGATGAAGAAAATCTTAGTGAAAACATGGCGCGATGTCAAAACTTACAATATTTATATATTGAACACTTCACGTTATCTCACAAAATGCTGGAAACATTTTTCAATTTTATCTCCGGTCAAAAATCAATGAAAGAGTTAACATTGAGGAAGTTACACTGTAAAGAACATGGCCGCCTCCATGATTGTAAGAGATGGAACTTGGACTTGTCTCAACAGTCAACTCTATCAAAGTTAGTCTTGGTGCAGTTACCTGGGAGGCTACAATTAAATATATCAACACCGTCATTAGTTTATGTTAATTTGCGGAGAGTCAATGTAGATGAAAGTTCACTGTTACTGTCACGTGACATGTTGAATATTGAACGTGTGAGGTTGTGGGACATAGAAATGTCTGCAAGAAGTTTACAGAACTTTTTTAACGTGCTGGAAAATCTGCCGCAGTCAGTTACAGTAAAGATGAAAGGCATTAAACCGGAAACAGAATATGACCGTGTTAGAGAAAATATTCGGAGATCACAAACTTTTCATGTGATACAAGAAGAGACCTTGGTGGAGGGCAGGTGGCAGCCATTTGAGTTCAAAACAATAAAACCAAGCAAAGAATAGACACGGAAAAACATTGTGAAATAAATTGAAGCCATTACTTAAATGATTTTAATTAATAAAAACAATTTAATTATGGACACTTAGAAACAAAATGGCGGCTCTTCAAACTTTAACTAGGACACATGTACTTTCGTTTTCAATTAATAATTTAAGTGACAATTGTTTATAAATAAAAACATTTAATTAATATAAATAATTCAAGGAAGTTTTGACGGAATTCAATGGATATAAAATTGGATTAGGATAAGGAAATATTTAACAGGTGAGTGATTTTATATTGATTTTTTTTTTTTGTTTTTTTTTTTTTTTTTTTTTGTTATAGATGCATACAAGTATGTAAGAACTGAAATGGATTATATATTAACAGTGAACAATACTCTTTAAACTTTTACTTGAAAATATTTGATTTAAATAAATCAATTTTTATGCCCCCATTTTGAAAAAAAGGGGGTATATTGCTTTGCACTTGTCGGTCCGTCGGTCCGTCGGTCCGTAGACCAAATGGTTTTCCGAGTGATAACTAAAGAAACCCTTAGGCCTAGGAACTTCAAACTTGGTATGGTGATTGGTTCATGACCAGTAGATGACCCCTATTGATTTTGGGGTCAAGGGTCAAAGGTCAAGGTCACATTGACCTTGAAAGCAAAAACGGTTTCCGATCAATAACTAAAGAACCTTAAGGCCTAGGAACTTCAAACTTGGTATGGTGATTGGTCATGACCAGTAGATGACCCCTATTGATTTGGGGTCAAGGGGTCAAAGGTCAAGGTCACATTGATCTTGAAAGCAAAAACGGTTTCCGATCAATAACTAAAGAACCTTAAGGCCTAGGAACTTCAAACTTGGTATGGTGATTGGTCATGACCAGTAGCAGACCCCTATTGATTTTGGAGTCAAGGGGTCAAAGGTCAAGGTCACATTGACCTTGAAAGCAAAAACAGTTTCCGATCAATAACTAAAGAACCTTAAGGCCTAGGAACTTCAAACTTTGTATGGTGATTAGTCATGACCAGTAGATGACCCCTATTGATTTTGGGGTCAAGGGGTCAAAGGTCAAGGTCACATTGACCTTAAAAGCAAAAAACGGTTTCCGATCAATAACTAAATAACCTTAAGGCCTAGGAACTTCAAACTTGGTATGGTGATTGGTCATGATCAGTAGATGACCCCTATTGATTTTGGGGTCAAGGGGTCAAAGGTCAAGGTCACATTGACCTTGTAAGCAAAAACGGTTTCTGATCAGTAAACTAAAAGAACCTTAAGGCCTAGGAACTTCAAACTTGGCATGGTGATTGGTCATGATCAGTAGATGACCCCTATTGATTTTGGAGTCAAGGGGTCAAAGGTCAAGGTCACATTGACCTTGAAAGCAAAAACAGTTTCCGATCAATAACTAAAGAACCTTAAGGCCTAGGAACTTCAAACTTTGTATGGTGATTAGTCATGACCAGTAGATGACCCCTATTGATTTTGGGGTCAAGGGGTCAAAGGTCAAGGTCACATTGACCTTAAAAGCAAAAACGGTTTCCGATCAATAACTAAATAACCTTAAGGCCTAGGAACTTCAAACTTGGTATGGTGATTGGTCATGATCAGTAGATGACCCCTATTGATTTTGGGGTCAAGGGGTCAAAGGTCAAGGTCATATTGACCTTGTAGGTAAAAACGGTTTCCGATCAATACCTAAAGAACCTTAAGGCTTAGGAACATCAAACTTGGTATGGTGATTGGTCATGATCAGTAGATGACCCCTATTGATTTTGGGGTCAAGGGGTCAAAGGTCAAGGTCACATTGACCTTGTAGGTAAAAACGGTTTCCGATCAATAACTAAAGAACCTTAAGGCCTAAGAACTTCAAACTTGGTATGGTGATTGGTCATGATCAGTAGATGACCCGTATAGATTTTGGGGTCAAGGGGTCAAAGGTCAAGGTCACATTGACCTTTTAATTAAAAACGGTTCCTGATCAATAACAAAAGAACCCTTAGGCCTAGGAACTTCAAACTTGGTATGGTGATTGGTTATGACCAATCAGATGACCCCTATTGATTTTGGCATTAAGGGGTCAAAAGTCAAGGTCACATTGACCTTGTAGGTAAAAACGGTTTCTGATCAATAATGAAAGAACCCTTAGGCCTAGGGACTTCAAACTTGAGATGGTGATTGGTCATGATCAGTAGATGACCACTATTGATTTTGGGGTCTAGGGGTCAAAGGTCAAGGTCACATTGACCTCTTAGGTAAAAACGGTTTCCGATCAATAACTAAAGAACCCTTAGGCCTAGGAACTTCAAACTTGGTATGGTGATTTGTCATGACCAGCAGATTACTCCTATTGATTTTGGGATCAAGGGGTCAAAGGTCAAGGTCACAATGACCTTGTAAGTAAAAACGGTTTCTGATCAATAACTAAAGAACGCTTCGGCCTAGAAACTTCAAACTTGGCATGGTGATTGGTCATGACCAGCAGATGACCCCTATTGATTTTGGGGTCAAAGGTCAAGGTCACATTGACCTTGTATGTTAAAACGGTTTCCGATCAATAATAAGAGAACCCTTAGGCCTAAGAACTTCAAACTTGGCATGGTGATTGGTCATGACCAGCAGATGACCCCTATTGATTTTGGGGTCAAGGGGTCAAAGGTCAAGGTCACATTGACCTTTCAGGTAAAAACGGTTTCTGATCAATTTACTAAAAACGCCTAGGCCTAGGAACTTCAAACTTTGTATGATGATTGGTCGTGACCAGCAGATGACCCCTATTGAGTTTTGGGTCAAGGGGTCAAAGGTCAAGGACATGACCAGTAGATACTTTATAACCCTTATTAATTGTTTGATCACTGGGTCAGAAGTCATGCATAATAACCTTATCACATGACTAATTGGCTGCTGATAGGGGGCATACATGTTTTACAAACATATCTTGTTTAATTAATATTTTTAATTATTAATTAAAAGCTGACCTGTCAACCAGTTTCCTTTAAACCAGATAGTATGATTGTAGTCCTAGGGTCTTAACTGACCCAGCCCGATGGGGGGGGGGGTGGCATGATTTTTTTTCATATAATTAAAATGTCATCTTTTCTTAATCAATCAATACTAATCTTTAGTAAAGCTAAGGTATTTTGCATTAGGCATTGTCTAGTTTACCTGTACCAAGTATGTTTAAATCATTAAAGTCATTGGGTCAATGTTTGCCCAACAAGGGGGGTGGGGGCACTTAAAATTTCCTTAAATGTATCCACATACTGCCAGTTTTCAATCACAACCACTTTTCAATCATCCCTAGAATTTTTTTATTTTTGACCTTATTTGTCATGTAACCAAACTGTAAGCACATCTTGCATTCACTTTGACTACATTTATTAGCAGCAATGTCAATTATGGCGATAAAAAAGAAAATGCTAGCATTTTAGTTCAAAATATGTGAAATGTGTGTTTTCCACTAATCCTTTATTTAGCCAGTTACAAATCGCAATAATTTTCTCAAAAAAATGATTTACAGACTCAGTTTTTTGTCAGTCTGCTGAAATGGATATTAAGTTGGACAACTGTTTCAATATCTTGAAGTCATAATATATACTGCACTTCAAAAGCTATAATTTTAATATGTACATATTTTACCATACAATTCTTAATTGGAAGGTAATACATCAGTAAAGTAACAGTCACTTAAACAAGGAAAAACATTATCTCTGATAACTTTTCAGTAAGCAGTCACTAGAATGGTGTCATATAGACCTTAAGATCCTAAAAAATTCTCGAGAACATGCTTTTTTCTGTTATGCAAATTGAAATGTACATCCATACCCTAATTGTGACAGCTTTACCACTGCAAATAGATATCAAGATTAAAAAATGGCATTATAATTAGGTTAAAATTGTTTATTACCATTTACCTGAAGTTGAGTTTGTCAAAATTTCTCCATAATACATAACTGATTATATTTTAACATTGTATGACATTTTTTGTGGTATAGTTTATATTTTGTTAACTGATTGATAGTGGTTGTGAAATTTAGAATAACAGGAAAAGGGGTCAGTAATGATTTGTCCTCGATTCATAATAATAATTCAGGTAAAATTTTAAAAAGTTTGTGCATTTATTAGCTAAAATGATAATATTCGAAGAATTGAAAGAGAATTTTTTTTAATATAATTTCACTGTCAGTTATTGTAGGAAAATCTGTTAGCTGATCGGAAAGAGGCAGTACGGGGATATATTGGTAACATTTTAGATAGGTTCCCTTATGAATTATATATTTATTCTTTATTATAGTCTGATCTATACATACATATACAATTAAAACAATATACATACAGTAAATTGTACAGCTATTCTTTTAAGAATTTTAACAGACTGTTCTATTTTATAAGAGGGGTAACTCCACAGTCCACATTACAGAGATCTATAATATATACTGTAGATTTACCTCCCTTATTTACATAATTATACCCATTTACATGTTACAATGAAGGTTTAATCTTAAATATTTGTCAAGATCCATACTCTAGTGGAAATCAACCAAGTTTGTTAAATTACAGCTGTTGGATTAAATAAAAGGGGGAGGGGGTCATGGATTTTTGATTTTCGCATAAAACTTTAACTCTTTCGCTGCCAGAAGGTTATTGTTTTATTGATCACCTATTTGCCAGAGGGTTTTCTAAGAAATTACTACTTTATTAAATAATATAATTATTATTATTATTTGTTATTAGTATTATAATAACTATTTATGTTCCAAATATGCTAGTACACAGGAACTTGAAATTCTATCACTATATTAACGATAATATGCAAAATATACCCCCTATATACTATACTGTTTATTTATAGTATATAGGGGGTATATTTGGATATTATAATTAATATTGGTTATTTGATAGAATTTCAAGTTCCTGTGGCTAGTATAATAATAATTATTACCGATGGTATAATTTTCTTTACATTTATTATAATTTTTATTATTATAATTATTATTATGATTACTGCAGTATTATAGAAACGGCAAAAGCCGTCCATATGGCAAATAAGCCGAAAGTAACAGGTATGGCATAAGTCGCCCCTATGGCAGTGAAAGGGTTAAAAATCTCAAAGGCCTAAAGCTTCGGTATTTTGCATGAAACATTGTCCAGTGCTCCTCGAACAAGTTTATACAAATTATAGCTTGGGGGGCAAAATTTCCCTAGTTTGCCTGGGGTGTAGAATAAGATTGTCTTTATATGTATGTAGTTAAACCAAAATTATAAAATATATAATTCTCTAAAATCATAAAGGGTATTTAGCTAATAGATATTCTGAATGAAATATTGTTTTGTGGACCACTATTAAGTTTTTTCAAATTGTTACGTCCTGGAGGTCTCAATTGAACCTGCCCCAGGTCTTTTATTTTTTTATAATACATACGCGTATGCATCTTTATAGTTAAGATGAAAATAATCAACTTCTATAAAACCATCTGAACTATTGGTATAAACTATTGTCTTGTGAATTCTAGCAAGTTCTGACAAATTACAAATATATTGAATCAGGGTCGATATTGGCCTCATGCACCCAACTCAATAAACTTTATTGAGACTTGATGGTAAAATGTATTTTTTTCAGATATGTAAAAATTGTTTGAAAACCAGTTGTATCGTTGTAGCAGATGTCCCATTTGTGTTTAAATAATAAAATATTTTTGATTGAGTGTTTACAGGGGTGTATCACGTAAGGGGCAGGATCTGACCCCCAAGCGTCTGTGCACCCAAAGAGTCATGGATTTTCCTTCGATTCTAAATGTTTATTAACCTTTCCAAACAACCATTGCTATTTTGATACTTAGCAAACATTAAAGGGACTCAACTGAGGTTTCTTTTTTTGACCTGATGGGACTGAAAATATTTTTTCCAGATGTAGGTTTCGACCACTAATCTTTGTGCAAAATTTCAGATCATTCGCGCACTGCTTTTTCCAGAATAATTATTCAAATTGTAAAAAATGACCTGAAATGAAAAGCGTTTAAACGCTTCTCACTCAAATCGGGCTAAGAAAAACATAAAATACCATTTTTCATTTATTTCAAAGCAAATTTCTAGGCTATCTTTGCATATATTTCTGTTCAATTTCAGTACCCTGCTGATTTATGTAAGAAATTCAAATCTTACGTTTTAAGGCTTTTAAACCTCAGTGGAGTTCCTTTAACTTCTAGCAACTAATGACATAATAAATTGATAACAACCATTTACTTTCCATACCAACCACTGTTTTCAAAAGCAACCGTTAACTCTCCATAGCAAGAAGTGAATTTCATAGCAGCAATTGACATTCCATAGCAACCATTGATTTTCATAGCAAAAAAAGGGAGAAAAAGCAGAGTGTTACAGGTCCCGCCTTACGGTGACATTTATCTTAAATGTACAATATTTGAGATGCAAATATGAACTTTGTGATAATTATCAATTTAAGATAAGAATCTGCTTTTCATTCATAACTTGCAAAATTTATTGCTCCATGTCAGTTAGAGCCTTTACAATCAAGTGAGCGACATAAGGTTCATCATGACCCTCTTGTTCACAAACATTTAACTAGATTAGAATAAGACATTGTTCTGCAAAATTTCCTCATTAATAAGATACTTATTATGCGTTAATCTTGTGTCTTATTTCTCGTTTCAGCGGCCATGGATCAGAATTGTTGTGATGCAGAATCTCTTGTGACATTTTACAATATGGATTTGTGTTGAGTTACAGATTATTTTGAGCAATAAAAATACCATGTTCCTTTGTTGACAAGGTAAGTCTTAAATTATCTTTATGATTGACAGATCAATAATGACCAATAAAAATAGTGAAATAAAATATCAATGGACAATTGTTTCATTCAGCCAAATCATAAACATGATTTTTAGGGAAATGTTGAAAAAATATTAAATTTTTACACCAAGTTTGTAAGCCGAGTTTCAATACCATCTGAGTTTAATAGTCCTCTTAAGCAAAGTTTGTTACTATAGTTATATTACGAAAGGTCCGTGGTTCTACTGGGATATCAGCTTAGGCCAAATAGTTAAATTAATTTAGCTTACAACAGGCATTGATTCTACTCAGATGTCGGCTATTATGCCCAGATGGCTTTCAGCAGGCCTGGGGTTTATACTGTGATGTCATCGCATGCCAATATTTTTACTCAGTTGGCCAGCTGTACTCCGGTTAGTCGGTTGTACTCGTATATCAGCTCGTGCCTCTAAACCAAATATCAGCTTTTGTCAAATAGCTTAATTCATATTACTGACAGAAGGCTGTGGTTCTTAACTAAGATGTCGGCTCTTGCCTAAATGATTAAATTCAGTTTGGCTTACAGAGGTTTGTGGTTCTACTTGGAATTACCAGCTTATGCTTAAAAAATTCAATTCAGCTGGCTTGGGGAAGGTGTATTTTTCAATTAAGTTCCTTCATGGAAAGCCCGAGGTTCCCCTCTGAACTTGTCAGCTCATGCCTATATTATTCAATTAAGTTGGCTCACTCTTATCAGTGATATCAGGTTGTGCCTAAATTATTCAATTCAGTTTGCTTACAGATGGTCTGTAATTCTACTTGTATTCCAGCTAATATGCTTAAATAAGTCATTTCAGCCGTCCGGTGGAAGATGTTTTATTCAATTCAATTTGCTTACAGAAGGTCTGTGGTTCTACTCAGGTCGAGGACTTATAAATTGATCCATAATAATAAAGGGCAATTTCAATATATTCTATTTATATTTCTATCACTTTATTGCAACTATTTTTACAAACAAGGAGACTTATGGGCGATTTGGCTAAATGGATTATATATGTTACATAATTTGATTTATAAAAAATGTGAACACATGCCACTATAATGAATAAATTATTTAGTTTACTTATGCATATGGAATTTTATGATTTGCATTTACTTTGGTTCACCTTAAATGTGTGTGAATCATAATACACATAAAATATATTATAATTATACTTAATAAATCCTGTAATCTACACTGTTACACACTGTTATATTTAGATTTTCTCATTTATTCTTTTTTATACTTTTTTTTCAGAAAATCAGCTCAAGTAAATCTGCAGCAACAATGATTATTATGCTTCTACTAGAGTCCAATATGAATACTAATTAACACCTCGTTCCTGGCTTTACAGAAACATATCCACAAGAAAATTGTTTAAAAACAGTGCATCACCAATAACTTTTAAAATCTTCTAGTTCCTTGCTGAAACAAAGACAGACCAGAAAACTTTTGCATTGTTTGTACTTAAACTTGTTTTCTTCAAGGAGAATTTACATCTGTAAAAAAAATTATTTACCAAGGCCGCTGTCAAATATTTAAAAATATCCTTCTGAAAACTTTGTTATGGACTACTCACATACCTTTAGAAAACACAAATGAAACTTGTAAAAATTCTTGTAATTAAAGTGGATTGGTCTACAATGTGCACATTTTCCATAAGTATTGATAACACGACTACAATTAGACAATAAGATAATTATGAACATTTTTGATATATTTTGGAAATGTTGATAGAGTTCTAAAATGATTTAGTTATAATGGAAACATTATATATATGGCGAAATTATAACATTTTGTTCAAAAAACACTTTAATATATTATATGCTATATATTATTCTAACACGACCTACATTTTTCCCCATTGAACATAGAAGAACCGAAAGTGTGTGTTATTATGCAATAAAATCACAGTTTGACGTTCTATATTTAGACATGTGATGTAAACATTATACACGTGACGTAACCTCTAAAATTGAGACGTGCTGAAAAAAAACAGGAAACAAATCGGACGCAATTTAGACTAATATCAGGAACGGCAGCATAATTAATTTGTTGATGTCATGTTAGAATCAAATTAATCGGTGATTTTATCGCTTGATAGCATCACTGTTTGTTGTTCATATGCGCACATTATATATGATATAATTCCTTGCAATTGAACTCCAAACAATGATGTTATTGAGCAATAAAATCACTGTTTGGGATATATTATTTCTTAAATATATTGTATCGGACCATGTATCTATCACATGCCTAGAACACCCATATACATTTTTTTGTGGTTTGCTTTAACATATCAAACTAAATAATAACTATAAAAATAATTATTTATGGTATAAAGATCTTCCATTATAGACCAATTCACTTTAAAGAAAGTATGATTGAAATTGTTTTTGATTTTAATAAGATTAAATTATGTGTTCTGCTATTTTAGAGTGAATTTATAGTTAAACATATCACTACATAATGACAAGCTTTGAAAAAAAAATCATTAATATATTGTTTGAACAAATTATTCTGTAAATTTTGATGAGTATAAGTTTGTTGATTTACTACTTTTTAGGCTTACAAAAAGGAAAATCAAATTTGAAAGTTGCAATATAACTACAGAAAAATTAATTAGAGCAAAAGTTTATATGTTTCATTTTGCTATTGGTTATATCTTAATTTAGACAGGGTCTTTCAAATAGAATGGTCTGGAGTGCGAACAATTTTACTAAAAAAGATGTCTCAGAGCTGAGTCACATGATTAGGTTATCTACTGACTGTCATCTGGAATTGTACATCACCCTTTTAAAATTAAAGATAAGATAAATTGATCAAAGCTTACTGAAAACTAATCTTGGCTACATGATATATCGGGTTTTAAAATGAAATTGGGCTAGGGAAATCTAAAAACCGAAATTTGGAATATATTTTTAGTACTTTCGCCGTTCAAAAAAAAATTTTTTAAAGAAAAAATTTCAAATCAAAAATTCTAAAAAATTTTTTGGCTACTTTTAAATTTAAACAAAAAATTTTTTTTCCCTTAAAAATAAAAATTTTAAAATTTTTGCAATGTAATTGGGAAATTTTCTTGGGGGGTTAAACCCGTTTAAATTTTTTTTAAAGCAGCACGCCCCCCAGATTCCCCTATTTTTTCTAAAAATTTTTTAAAGATGTTTTTTAAAAGTACTTTTTTAGTGAAAAAAACTAAAGGAAGTTATTTACACTTTAAATGGCACTTACAACCCATGTACATTACTTAAAAAGGGACAAAATTGCCAAAAAAAACCCCGGTAATGCGTTAGTAACGCAGTAGAAATATAGTTATAAATACTAAAAACAGTCATTAATGGCTCATAACATGTAAATTATTACTTGAATCTTGAATATTTTTACTTTCCTAAAATCTTAGTGCATTTTTCTCAAGTTTGATTTTATTGAAATCTGTTCGCTCATCTGGAGGCATGCAGCTTTAATATAGGTCCGAGTTTCTTTTTAAATTTTTTTTAAAACTTTACATTGTTCAATTGCAAAATAGAAATTGATTTTACAAAGAAAACTGTTGTTTAATCGTATCATGTGAAGATTTTATAAAATTTCACAATGTTTTTTACACATATTTGTAGTTAAATTTGATGCATTTTCAAAATGGCGCTGTTTGTTTGCAAATATTCTATGTTTTTCAATAGATCATGGCTTAATCACATTATTTTCTGAAATATTTATCTTTCTTTCACATGTTTAAAGATTTTTAAAGCACATCATGTTGACAGAATTTTCATGTTTGCTCCTATATTTAGTTTTTGAAGTATCTTCAGTAGATGTGTTCTTAAGTGATGTAATGCTATAGTTATAGGGTGATCTGTATATTTGTACATAATATATTAATTTATCACACACCCGTGCCGATTTTGCGACTCCGTAAATATGGTATTGCACGGCCGTGCATATATTTTTGACGTGATGTCATTAGCGTTACACAAACATAGTGTGAAGACGCGCTAAATGTTAGTGTTATACTAAAGGCGCATCAATAAAAATGACTCTTATTTCACTTTAAACGGTCTTTATATTGGGTATGTGATAAATAGAATATTAAATTTGTGTAAGTTCATTACTGAATTTATTGCACTCGTTGAATAAAAAAATATTATGCTCGCCAGAGGCTAGCATAATATAATTTTATTCAACTCGTGCAATAAATTCAGTATTGAACTTACACTCATTCAATATCCTCTATGTATTGCTTATCCATGTTCTAGTCAGATTTGATGTTGTTTTTTTCCAGTTAAGTATATACAGATGTTTATAGTTATCTATAAGATCTAAATACTATTTTTTTGTGTTGGAGGTACTGTGTATCTCATTGTCAAACTAGTATGTTTATATGCATATACATAATTTATATTCAGTGATCAGAAATGACTTGTATATTACTTACCTATGTAATATATACATACATTAAGGTAACACAATAAGGATACATCCAGAAGGATGGAATATTGTCATGCTTCTAGGACATGAAAATATGGCGAATTAGGGTCATCACGGCCTTCTGGTTACTTTAAGAGATGTTTTTTCTGTGTATATATGTATATAGTTTTCTTAGTATGATTTTGTATAATTTACAAAGATAAGTATTTTGTGTATAATGTATATGTATTCAATATCTTCATCAGAGTCATCATGGCTGTCTAGTTACTTTTATGATTTTTGTAAACATGTATAAAGTTTTCTTAGTGGAATTTACCATTAGGGTTTGTAAATGTCCATATTTCATTTATTGCCGGGACACAACTCATACACAATTAAATGTATCTACATGAAACGTATTTGGTAGTTCTAAATATCTGATTGTGGTACAATGTATATGTGAAAAATTTTGTAGTTATTTACCTTTGTAACAGTTTATACTAAATTTTCATGCAGAGCATACCTTTAAAGGCACATTATGCCTCAGAAATCTGTTTTTATACAATTCTTTAGAAATGTCAAACATGTGTTTAATAATGATTTTAAGAACATGATAGATTTTTTAAAATAGCTGGGGAAAGTAGCGCTGAATGTGCAGTTATATGTCCTAAAGTGAACAAAATGTAAACAAAAGTAGTAGTTTTGCTTGCATACAAAATAATAATATACTACAATTGCCAACAAAAGCAGCTCGATCAATTTTATGACAAATGAGTATTTTTTTTTAAACTAAAAAAAAACTAAAAACAAAGTTTAAAAAAAAAAAAAAAAAAAAAAAAGATTTCTGAGGCATAATGGGCCTTTAAGTCTGTATGATGTTTGAACATGAAATATGATATTATCCTTCTGACAAAATGGCATTCAAGGTCATTGCAAACTTATTTGCAATAGAAGAGAGGCTGTTGTAAAACTATTTGAAGATTTATATTGACATGTTATGATGAAAATTCATATTGATTTTTTTAAGTAAGTTGGTTAAAGACCCCTTTAAAATCGGGAAAATGCTATCATTTTTTTTTTTTTCATAAAACAAAAGTTAAAAAAGGTTTTTAAACCATTTTCCCAAGTTATAGAAAATGTTTAGAATTGGGATATTACAAATTTAACTTTTTTAACTTTATTTTTTGAGAAAAGGGAGTAATTTTAAAAAGAAACATTTTGTTAAAAATTTTATTTATAATTATACTGCCCGGGTACTGTTGAAAGTATGTTTTGTTTCCCAAAAAATTTTTTGGTTTTTAAAAATTTAAATTTTTCTTTTAACTTTGTATGTTAGATTTATTGGGATTCATTTATTTAATAAAAATTAAAATTGTGAAAAAACCTTTGATGTTTTTTTTTTTCAAAACCACAAATATATTTTTAAACGAAAAAAATCAGTTTTTTTTTGGGGGAAAAATTTGGGTATGTAGCGTTAACACTTTCCTGGATTTTTGTGTCTTATAGGGGAAATAATTATTTTGTATCACCAGTACTGGGGAAAGTCCAGGAATAAAGAGAACACACATGATTGATTTCTCATCTAACAAGTTGGAGTGGTCGTACTGTACAGATGCAAATTGTTGTAAAGCAATTATTAAGGTGGCTTTTTATAATGAAGGTACAATATATGAACCAGAGTGACAAGGATAAAGACCTTTTGATTGATGATGTTTAGAAAGAAAATAAAAACAAAAAAAAAGCTGGGTTGCATTACAAAATTACTTATACAAATAAAATGCTGGCCACTTGATGAAGGTTATAATCTATAATGACATTGCTAGTTAAAACAAAACCTAGCCGCATTATAAAAAGCTTGAAAAGGGGTAGTCATTCCCGAAACGGTTTAAGTTGTTTTAGTACAATTTCCAACTTGTTACGATGTTATGTGTTCCTCTAAATAACAGCAGAGATACATACTGCATAACAAATCAAGGGGCCATAACCTTATTAATGGTTTCCATAAAGTTTCGTTGAATTCCAGCCGGTACTGAAGCATCTAACCAGAACAAGGCAACGATATGCCCATCTCCTCTTAGTGTTGATGGTTCCCATAAAGTTTCGTTGAATTTCTGCCAGTAGTTGCAGAAGAACTAGTGCTGAAACGAAATTCGGACAGATGGAAAGCACCTATATAAAAGAACCAAAAAAAGCAATTTAACCATATAGTGAAAGTACCTAACATTTTTTCAATAGATGCATTGTAATGCTATCGTAATATCCTGGAAACAATATACCAATATACTACAAAATGGCTAGTGTGAATCCATTCTATGGCCTCACGAGTTATTCCCCTTTACTCCTTGATATAAACATGTTCTACTAAAGCACTTTTACTAAATTACAAATATGTTTAATTT